CTTTACCTCTCAAGGGTCAGATGATTGTGGCTGCATCAACTGAATGATCTCTCCCTGTCCTGTACATAAGACACACAAGGCATGTGAACATAAAATCATCTTAAACTAGGCCATTAAAAACAATTATTATGATTACCTTGTGTATATACAGGGTTTATATAATATTCCTAATATATTTATTTTGATGATGCAATGGTTACTATATTGTTTTGTCTCCATCTTCCAGGCAAAGAGGGGAAGTTTGCCTGAACAACATCACTCTGCTGCAGCGGTTGCTGCTACACCACGCAGAGCATCAGACCAGCCTCACAGCCAGCTGGTACACTCTCCTTTTATAAATACATACAACTCAAGAGCCCTCATAAACTCTCTATCTACCTTTATGGTGGTATCAGTTGTATTCAGTGAAAGCCAAAACAGACTTTTTTTCTACCTCTCCAGGCTATGAGGGTGGGTCTGGAGGAACGAGCTCACACCATTGGTTACACAGGAAGAAACAGCCCCATCAGCGCCGCTCATCCTCCCCGTCGTGTATCTGAAACCTTGCCTCTACCACAGGTCAGCTCGCTGTCTGGATTTGGTTGAAGTAGTCCAAAACAGAATTCCTTGGCTGGCTGTGGAAAAAAAGAATATACACCGCTGAAATGATGCCAAATCGCCAGGTGGCATCATCAAATTGCTTACAATGAATACTTCGTTCAGCGAATTCTCCATAACTCAATGTACAGAAAAAGTAAGGAAAAACAACAAGTGATCCCAATTTGAAAAAAAAAAACAGCAATTCATTCTTGGTGACTGACTTGATTGATTAATTGACTAAAAAGTGTAATGGTAATAATATATGATAATGTTCTGTCAAATGACTAATTTTATAATTTAAGCAGCAATTCCAATTTAGAGATAATCGGGGGTAGTTTAAGTAGCAACATCAAAATGCCCATTTTGCATAAATATACTCATTTCATTGGTACTTTTCTGCAGCAAATATCACACACTGATTTTCTTTATCAAGATTAATTACTTGTTTTCTGGGAAATTGGTGAAATAAACCCCCCAAAAAATACCCTCTGCAACAACACATTTAAATCCATTTAAAGGTCCAATTCAATTCAATTCATTTCAATTCAATTCAATTCAATTTTATTTGTATAGCGCCAAATCATATTATACATTATCTCAAGACACTTTACATAGAAGGTCAGGACCTTAAAATCTAAATATAAAGAAACCCAACAGTTCCCACAATGAGCAAGCACTTTGCGACAGTGGAGAGGAAAAACTCCCTCATTAACAGGGAGAAACCTCTAGCAGAACCAGGCTCAATGTGGGCGGTCATCTGCCTCGACCGGTTGGGGTGAGCAAAGAAAACGGGGGAAGGAGATGAGAGA